TGGATGGTGTCTGTAATTTATCTGTGGAGAGGGTCTGGGTTTGGGTCTGGTGTGGTTGATTGGTGATGGCGTTCTGTGTGCCTCTGGATCTGGTGTCGGTTTTTGTGGGGAGGGCTAATTTCCAGATGTCTGGCAGGCGGGATGTGTCGTCACGCTTGTTCATGTTGTGAGGGTGTTTCTCTATCTCGATGGCTTCCATGATTATTCTCTTGTGGTGATGTTCCATGTTAGAGAGCAATTTGGAATCTGCAAAATTAATTTCGTGTCCTGTTTCTTTCATGTGTTGGAAAAGAGAGGAAGTTTTTTCTTCTTTTTTGACGGCATTCTTGTGTTCTGCGATACGTGCATTTATTCGTCTGTTTGTTTGTCCAATGTACGTGGCTGGGCAGACTTTGCAGGGTATTTCATAGACACCTTGGTTTTCCAACTGGATTTTATCCTTGGGGTTTCTGAGGATATTGGCTATTTTTTGGTTGGTGCAAAAGGCTGTTTTGATATTGTGTTTATGGAGGATTTTGCTAATTTTATCTGTAGTGCCCTTGATATAAGGAAGGAGGGCCATGCCATTGTTTTCTTCTGTGTCTTGGTTTTTTGGGGGTGTTTCTTTTTGCATTAGCTTCGTAACCCTGTTTTGCTTCGTAACCCTGTTTTGATACCAGCAAAACAGGGTTACGAAGCTAATGCAAAAAGAAACACCCCCAAAAAACCAAGACACAGAAGAAAACAATGGCATGGCCCTCCTTCCTTATATCAAGGGCACTACAGATAAAATTAGCAAAATCCTCCATAAACACAATATCAAAACAGCCTTTTGCACCAACCAAAAAATAGCCAATATCCTCAGAAACCCCAAGGATAAAATCCAGTTGGAAAACCAAGGTGTCTATGAAATACCCTGCAAAGTCTGCCCAGCCACGTACATTGGACAAACAAACAGACGAATAAATGCACGTATCGCAGAACACAAGAATGCCGTCAAAAAAGAAGAAAAAACTTCCTCTCTTTTCCAACACATGAAAGAAACAGGACACGAAATTAATTTTGCAGATTCCAAATTGCTCTCTAACATGGAACATCACCACAAGAGAATAATCATGGAAGCCATCGAGATAGAGAAACACCCTCACAACATGAACAAGCGTGACGACACATCCCGCCTGCCAGACATCTGGAAATTAGCCCTCCCCACAAAAACCGACACCAGATCCAGAGGCACACAGAACGCCATCACCAATCAACCACACCAGACCCAAACCCAGACCCTCTCCACAGATAAATTACAGACACCATCCAGTAGCCAAACCATGGTGGCACCTCCGGATGCTGCACCCCCCTGCAATCCCTACACAGATCTGGCTGGCACAGGACACAAAACCACAGCTCGCCCCTATACACGAAGCCAAGCCAGAGCACAACTAATTGCAGTACAGCCATCTTCTCAGAAAAACTCTTCACAAAGTTCAAGAGGTCAAGACACGAAGGCTTTAGCAACTAATCCACACCTAATGACCCACCTAAGTGGTACTCAGGATATCACTCAAGAAATCACTCAAGATATCCCTCAAGTAATTAAGGAACAAAAGAAGAAAAGGCACACTAACCTGGGAACTTCCTCTCTGCCCAGAACATTGGAGGCTATACACCACACCCCCTCAACAGTATTTATAGGAACTCAAACACTGAGATCCTGCTCTGTTCCAGTAACAAGAAGCCGAAAGCACCAGCCTGAAGATGACGAGTGAGACCTCGTCGAAACGTCGCCTAGACACCCCAACTTTTACACGGGAAGACACCCGAGGACACCAAAACCTGCATATATATATATATATATATATATATAGAATGCAATAAGCAGCTGTGGCGTGTACGTCTGATAACTACTGGGACAATAGCAGGCAGAGTGGAGGAGAGTAACTCTTTCTTTCCCTGCTGTTGTCCTGACAAAAAAATCCTTTGAAACTGCTGTTCGCCTTGGGAGCAAAACTTCCTTTGACAACAAGGGCTGTAGCTCAGTGGGAAAGTTCGTATGCAGGGGGTCTAGGTTCAAGCCCTGGCATTCCCAGGTAGTGCTGAGATACACCAAATGAAACTCACTACCCATCAGTGGAGATAATACTGAGCTTGGTGGGCCAATTATCTTGACAGTATAAGGCAGCTTCCTTTTTTAAAAAGTGCACCTTAAATGCAAAGGTACATCTAGTCTGGCTCTTAGATTTAACCCAGTGCTTCCTAGAACCCAGCAGTAACCACCAGGTTGACCAGCCCTGGAATACCAGTGTGAGCCGAGTATTGAATCTCCCCACAAATGCCATTTACGTATAACTGCAACTGCAACTCTTCAAGTTCCTCAGGCCACCAGTGGGTTGAGGTCAGCAAGTCAAAACCCACAGGAGTGAGGAACAGCTGTTGGCGAAGCCTTTCTCCACAGTGCTTGTCTATTATATTCCTGCTGTTACTTCCTGCTTTCCTCTCCCTGCTCCTGCCACATAGATCTCGTTGGCAGTTTTTGCAGGAATGGGCTTCCTCCAGCCACTGCCAGCTCGTTGAACAATCAGAGTGCTGTGAGGGACAAGTTGTGTGACCTCATCCCCCAGAAATCTCTGCCTTGGCACAAAAACCTCTCTGTGTGAGCGTCGGGGAAAACGGGCTCATTCCAGAGAGGCTGCATCGCCAAGAGGCATCTAAACCAGAGGACACGTGGAGCGCTGTGATCCAACACCCCTTGTTGAGCAGAGACACCAGGAAGGAGAGGAAAGGACAGGCAAGGGATCCCCAAGCCCTTGGAGAAACTGTGTGCTCTAATCATTAACGCTCTTGGACAGAACTAGCAGTATACAAACAGTATACAACACTGGACCTTGCTGGACAGAATTGTGGAGAAAAGAGTTCCTGAAGGGTGTATATATTATGGGCAAGAAAAGACTCCCTTGCCTTATCTGTCCCTCCCAAACACTGGGGAGAAGGGCAGTGAGACCCTACTCTGGACTGGTGTTTGCTTGAGTCAACCGAGCTAGGCACCAAGAGAACAAACTTTATGGAATCTTTTTGCAGTAACTGGGGCAGGGAGGGAGAGGAACAAAAACGCATCTTCTTGGGTCTTTCTAAACATGATTTCTATGGGAAATCATGTTGTGTGGTGCATTCTGATTCTTACTGGCAGCCATATCAGATGCTGTACAATGACTTCTTCCTCATGGCTGGTATGTCCTCTGAATACCAAGCGCTCACTCTTTGGCATCCGCCTCATCCCTTTTGTTTATCATCTAAATAGTTTCTTGAGAGCAGAGTGATTTGACCACAGAAAAATGCAGACAGGGCTGGAAAAAGGCTGTGTATGAGTATCTCCTAAAATATGCAGAGTGGGGGGCAAGGGACTTAGGAGCCTGATTCTTATGTTGTTACTATGCTAGGAGAAGATGACAACAACCCCCAGCCTTTTCTGTCAGGACCTCTTCAAAATGTGCCTCATGAGAGGATTCAGAGTGACCCAGCTCATGTTTCACATGAGGCGTTTCCCCGCCTAAAGCATCCCTATGTGTAATTTACCAGCTCAAAGGCTTGACCATATTCACTCTTTCTAGGGTGGGAAATTGTTGCTGTGGGAGAATATTTCCCGTGAGGTACATTTCAAATGTACTTCTCCCCACTTTGTTAGTGAAATTTGAGGTGGGGTACAGTCTTTGAGGACTCGATAATGCCGTTATGTTTGTCTGAATGGCCCCCCGAGGCCACATCTTTGAGGACAGGGATGGGGAAAACCAGATGTTTTTAGATTCCATCTCCCATCATCCTGCCCATTGGCCATGTTGGCTAAGGCTGGTGGGAATTTGGTTCCAACATCTGGAGTGCCACATGTTCCCCATGTGGGACAAGTTAGGCATGTTAAGGCAGACTGAGGGGCTTCACCCAGCTATACCCTGAGAAGTGCTTTTCTTCCAGAACAAGCAGCCTGTGGGTGAGCTACCACCATGGCAGTGAGGCTGTGAGTGCTGGGGATGCAGTTAAAAAACAACAACAGGTATGGCTTATGGGCTTTACATGCCCTATTCCTGCTCTAGGAGACCCAGGGAGCAGGGTGAAAAGAAGCCTCCCTCTGTCTCCCATTTTGTGAATTGGATTCCTACACTTACACAAAATGGAGGATCCTGAACTCAATTCCTGTGCAATCCCTGGAAGCAGGGTGAATAACAACTTCATAGATAGGCTTCCCTGGAATGAGCTCAGTGATACCTCATAGAAGACCAAAAATGTACATTTCCTCACTAGAATGCAAAAGGAAGGATAAACAGACCAGGTCCAATCCAGGTTTCAGTAAATGAAGAAATGGATGGCGCACCCAAGAGCCAGTTTGAGGTCAAATCCAATCCAAGTCTGGTGTTCCTTATAAGCAGATGAGAGAGGACATCTTGGATTATTTGATGTTCGAATATCGGACTGGAAGATTAGTGACTGTGATCTTTACCTCAAGCAGAAGACATAAGTATCTCCTGATAGGTGAATAATGTTGCATTGGGACTGAAGGAAGCCTAGCATCTTGTGGCTTTTCCTGTTCCACCTAGATCTCAGGTTTGCTCCTTTTTCAAAAAACTTTCCTTCTTATAATTGTTTGACAGTTGTGTGCAGGGTCTCCTTGGTTTCCCCCCTCTTTCCTTAAGGATAAATTCTTTTTACCGGGCCATGGAGGGGTCATGGCGCAATTTGCAGTGACAGAATCAGTCAGCCAATGGGGTTAAAGGGAAATGTGAACTCATTAACACCTGTAAATGCTGGCTGCATCGCAGAGCCATGACCTCAATGAAAGAGCCAACAAAGGCTGGCCATCTCCTTTGTATGGTTCTGCTTTACTTCTGTCCCTTTCTGACCACCAAAGCCGGAAGGAGGAGCAGGAGAGCAAAGCAGGTAATTGAGCTCCTTCCTTCACCGGCCTATCACCATCTAGAACATCTCCAAAGAAGGCTAACCCTGTGAGTTCACACACCAGTCGGCCTGCAAGGTGCATAGTTCCCTTTAACACTGGTCTCTCCCTGGGAGTGTGATGGGAGGTCACAAGAGAGCATCTACAGCTGTTCAAACCTTAACTTCATCGTCCTCCTCATCAACATAGTCAAAGGAACCACTGTGCCCCTCCCTAGCAATGCTTGCTCCATCTCTGTAGAACTCTTCTTCTTCTTCTTCCTCCTCCTCCTCGTCTTCCTCCTCCTCTACTCTGTGGTGCCATCTGGCCTTGCGTTCCTGCTGTTCAGCCTTCAGTCGCCACATGTTGGCATCTGGGCTTTCCCACGAGGCTTGGTTTCTTGGCTCTTCTCGTTGCTGCAGGCTGCGGTAGGAAGCTAAAATCTGGGCTGCCCGGTTGAATTCTCTTGCTTCCGTGTCGCAGCCATTCTGGTGCTCTTGCCAGTGGGTTTCTTTCGGCACTGCTCCCAGCTCAGAGGGCGGGTTCTTTCCCCTAGAGCAGGGTGACCCTTCCTGCGACGACTCTCTGGAATGAAAATCCCCATTGGCACAAACGGATTGCACCAGTGGTGAACTGGCCTCGGAGCGAACCCAAAGGCTTGATGCAGTTTTGCTCTCTTCACTTTTAGCATGAAGAGACCCTGGTCTCCAGGGTAATGAGTCCTCCCCACTGGTGTCCTCTGGGCAAAGAGGTGAGGCAGTGTTGCTGCAGGCTGAAATTTTGCCCTCCCCTCTTTCCTCCTCTTCCGTGTTGCTGCGGCTGTGATCTCCCGAGAAGCTGATGACATGGAGGAGTTCACTCATCAGGGAGGGGCCAAGGTCAAGGTCAAGGCGAAAAGACAGCAAGGAGTCTGAGCGATTCAGTGCTGATTCGGCACGGTGGGAGCTTTCCTGGGTCTTCTCAGAGCGCGGAACACGAGGGATGGTGCAGAATCCAGATTCCACTCCTGAAAAGGCAGTGAAAGCAATGGTCAGAACAAAGCATGGGAGAACCTGTCCTTTGCAGTACACAGCCTTCTCCAATGTGGTGCCCTTCAGATGTTTTCGAATGTAACACCCATCACCCCCACATCCATTGGGATGGGAATTGTAATCTAACAACTTCTAGGGAGAATCAGGTTGGGGAAGGCTCGTGTAGGATGGCAATCCTCTTATCCATATATGATGCAAAACTTATGGATGGGTCAGCATTAGTCTCCAGATATCCCAGGGAAAGGGAAAGCTGTTTCGTGTGGCCCAGTCTTTCTTTTTAAAACCCTGAGAGTCTCTGTCCCTCACAATTGGAGAGACGTTAACAGATGTGATAGCAAAAGAAGGGTGAAAACTAAGCAAGCGTGTCAGAATGAAGACCACATTTATTACGTTTGACAACTGATATGGCTTCTAAGACCCAGTTTTGCTGCTTTTCAAGTGCTTAGCCAAGGTTTCTTTGCATCAGAGGATGGCAATTTCAGGATGAGGTTATCGCAGAAGGAGCGCACTGTGTCAAGCTAATGTTGATTCACATTTGCTATGCTCATGCACGTTGTGTTAATAGCATGCAACTAAAATATGCAAATTAGCCACAGCTCAGTGGCTTATGAGCTACTTCCAATGAGCAGCTCTCGATGCCAAGAGCAAATGGTTCATCCCTGAGCTCACCCGGTATCCTCCCTCCCTCCAACAGAGTCTCTATCAGATGTAGAGAGGAGAGGAAATATGTGGCATCTCAGTATGATAACTGCACACCACTTTTCTTGCTTCTCTTTTCCATCCTCTGGCAAATAAAACTCAGTGGCCTGAGCTTCCCAAACTTTCCAAAACCAGGGCAGAGGGTGTTTCCCCAACTTTGAGGCACAATGCACTTTCACAAAAACACATCATCTATTCAGTCAGCTCTCAGAACGGTAGGAGGAAGGTGTTTACCTTGGAGTTAGGGGGCAGGCTAGTTAATACTTTGCCTTTGCCCAATCAGTCATGGCTCAGGGGTGAAATACCAAGATTTGACGGTAAGAAGGATGCTTCTTACATCACCCCAAACCAAGGGTATCCAAGGTGGTTCCCTCCAGCTGTTGCTGGACTCCATCTCCCATAACCTCCAGCCATTGGCCATGCTGGCTTGGGCTGATGGGAGCTGCGAGTCCAACCACAGCATTGGCTACCCCTGCCTCTATGCCTGTCAGCTGTAGGGTGGGCTGTGTCCTCTATACAGAGGCAGAAAGAGGGGGATTGATGCTGCCTTGCTAGATCCATTGGGCATAAACTGATGGGCGATTCAATAACTGCCTAATAACTCAAGGCACTCTCCAGGCCCTCTCAAGTGCTACAACAAGTAGTGTGGGGCTCATTGGTTTAAAGACACTTTGATGTAGATGCTGATCACTTTTAAGTTAATAGCCTTTGTGAATAACCTTCAGTCTTTTGTGTACACCGTTATGATAAGAGCAGGGCGAATTCTGCTCCAGGGACGTTTGGCCTGAGTGATGAAATCGTAGGGTTGGCTGCGCTGCAAATAAATAGCAAGCAATGGGATTGCAGGCTTGATTGCACTGCAATATTGGCTGGATGAATTGGAGAGAATGGGGAACCTGGTTTACATTTGAATGACTGACCCAGGCTTCTCCTTTACTCATAAAGCTGGTATTAATCTGGGTGAAAAGAAAAGGCGATATAAAGAAATCTGGGGGCGGAAGGATGTGTGCGCGGCAACTGCTGCATGGCTTGCAGTGTTCGACAGAGGGCAGCATTGCCCTGCTCTCTTCCTTGATGAAAGCCAGGCAGGCGCCAGCAATGCTAGAGGGGGCCAGGCAGCTGGGGGAAAGCCATTCTGCAGCAACAGGAGCTCAGAACAGAGACCGTTATTCACCTCCCTGCTAGTCCCACCTCAGTGCAAGTGCTGCAGTGTGGACATTTCGTATTGGGCGTGCAGAGTCTAGACAGAGGAAGCAGCGTCTCTGTTTAAGCAGTGAAAGTCAGGCTAGCTGCTATGCAAAGCTTTGAGCTCAAATCACCACAGGGCTAGAAGGTTTAGTTATGCTGGTTAGTGGAGGGTCTAGGTTCCCCCTTTTAGGTGAACCAGGCAATGCGTTTTGCCAGTGGAGCAGGGTTGCCCTATTGCACTCTGTCTGTCTGCTTCTCCCTCCATTCAATACTCTCTGTTCCAGGGCCCGTGTTACTGTCACCTTTCCCCCATATCCTCCTCTCTTCCTTTCTCCTATGCCAAACATGCTGTAAATTCCTTACCCAAAACACACACACAGTCCTATTTCCTAACAGCTGCATGTTCGGCATTTGTTGCCTGAGACAAACATCCAGACTCGAGACAAAAAAGACAGGCTTTTCCAGAGCCTCTGACAAGGCTGCTCCCAAATTATTTAACTACCACCTTACATGCCCATGACTATCTGACAATACTGGACAAACCAGGAAACCGATGTACAGCCCAATCCTAGGTTATGTGACAGTGAAATTATCTCCACTGCATTTGCACATTTAAGACTTCTAAAACAATTGGGCACAGGACTGAAGCCTTAGATTTCTTTCTCCATCTTTTATTTCCTTCTCTTCCACACTTACTAACTCCTAAAGTAATGCCAGTACTGTAAAATACCAGCCAGTTTTTGTCTCACATATTATTATTTTTTAAAAAAAATAATTCTAAGCTGAAAAGGCTACCAGTATGGCTTACATGGGAACAATGACAAGCAAGACTCGTTACATATCTTGATTCCAATCACAAATCAAATATATTTTAAAAGCAAAAGTGTTAATGCTATCTTCACTCACATGCACTGCGCACATTCAGCATAAGTTGTGAAAAGCTTTTCCATGCTATGCAAATGATACACACATATGTCCTGTATGCCAGTTGGGGGTAACCTGTCTTTTCCAGAAGTACAATTTGTAAATGTGCAGGGTTTTTCACAAATAACACTGAGCATGCAGATGAGGCAGAAGTGAGGACTAGAGTTCCAGACTTGAAGGGCTTGCCTGGCCCTTTCCAGGTCGTTGGTGAAAGGCTTGAATCTCCAAGTGGGCAAGGCTGCATTTAATAATAATAATAATAATAATAATAATAATAATAAGAAGAAGAAGAAGAAGAAGAAGAAGAAGAAGAAGAAGATGGTGCATGCAGCTTTCAGTCTGCCATGAGCAGGCTGCAAATTATAGCATAGACACGCTCTGTGTGTGCATCTGCCCTACTCTCCTCTCCTCTCCCAATTAACCTTTGTCTCCAGGACCCATCTCCATGACACCACTAAGGGCCACCACAAGGACTCTGGTTTGGGCCCTGAAATTTCAGGGTCTGGGATGCTCTTGACCTAACCTGGCAACTCTAGCAAGGACAGCAATAGCACTATCCTCCCCTTAGGATGCTCCATACTGTCATCATTTGCAGTCAGCAGCAGATGGTGGGGTTGGGTGTTGCTGTTCACCTTACTTCCAGTTGCTTGCACTGCTGCTGCTTACCATAGAGACGTGAGGCAGTGGCAAGGCCAACATGGTGCAAACACACTGGCAGGGACAATCCAGCACTCCTGCTGGTGTGTTTGCACCCACCCACTTCTCCCTTCCTCCATTACTTCCTGGTAAGCAGCAGCAATGTGACCAACCAGAGGTCAGGTGAGCCATGGTGCCACACACAACTCTGTCTGCTACTGTTCACAGTTCAGCAGACGTCAATTATTTTTCTCTCCTGGTTTGCTTGTACATTTTAATCTAATTTGACTTGCTCATGATGTCTGCAAAGCTGATCTTGTTGCTCTTGATTATTTTGCTCTAATTTCTAGCAGTTTAGCTCTTGCAAAGTTAAGCTTGCTTATTTGCTAGTAACATAGAAAGAAAGAAAGAAAGAAAGAAAGAAAGAAAGAAAGAAAGAAAGAAAGAAAGAAAGAAAATCAGCAAAGGACTTCAGAGAGTAGCACTTTGATCTAAAGTAAACAATGAAGAAACAGATGAGAGAGAAAAGTAATAAGCAAGTCAATAAGCCAGGGTAGTAGAGGTATGCAAGCAAACAAGAAAGAATCAGTAGCTGTCTTATAGAAGACCCTATGCACTGCACTGACCTAATGTTTACTCTGAGGAAAATAAGACGTCTCTGAAACATTAGTCATTCCTGAAAATATCCAGGGCCTTTGCTTTGCTTTCCTGTAATATTCACTAACAGCATGTATAATTGCAATGAGAGATCTACCCTGCCCCTTCTTTTCCTTTTCCCTTGTTTTTCCCCAAACCATGTTTCCCATCATCAGTCTTTCAGACTTCTGTGGAGAACTGGGTAGACCAGAAAACATACGTAGCTATTTCTAGCCTCTTCTTAATGGTGCCAGGAGTATGTGCAGTGCATTCTGGGATTGCATGACTTGGCAGAAATATCACTGCTTGTACACTGGTGGAAGTATATTGGAAAAGCCATCACAAGGAAATGGATGAGATCTATGGCGCATACTTAAATGCTTTGCTACCATTTGTGGGGGGGGGGGGATTTATGAAAACACTCAGAGTCCTGGAGAGCTACGTCCCAACCAAAAACCTTCTATCTCCTTAGCTTTTATTTTATATTATGTTACTCACTTAAAAGTCTTCTAGACCTAAACATAAGTACAGTCATGTTTGCTGGTGATGCCCGTGGAACAACTTAAATGCAAGCCTGTCATTTAATGTTGTTTATTGGACACGTTGCAATGACTCAGGAGAAAGTACTGATTTGTTAGTACAGCAAGCTGCAGACTTGTGTTGTAACAAGTAAAACAACTGAAGAAAAGAGATTTAATGGAATAGATAGAGAAAGAGCAATGAGGAATAGTTGTACTATTACGGAAGAGGCCAAGTTCAGCATGCTGCCCTTAAACATGCACAGCACTCCTAAATAAACAGAAATCTCAAACGTATTCAGTAAAGAAGTATTTGCATATGTGTAGGATTGTTTTGATTGCCCACCTAAGAGTGAAGCAAGGCAAACCAATCCACCACCAGATGCCACCTACCATAGCCAGAGAAGCTGTTGGGAGTGCTCTTGAAGGCAAAGGGAACTCCAAAGCCATCGCTCCCGTAGCTTCCTTCATTGAGCTGCGGCAGTGATACGGCGTTCTTGATGATGGGTGAGATGGCAGGGGGCGTAGGAGAGGCCTCATCCTTGTTCCTGCTTCCTCGGCTCCTTAGCGGGCTCCTCCTCACGTGCCACAGTGTCCGAGCAAAGAAGTTGTTGGGCTTGGCTTCCTCGCCGCCATGGTTCCTGAGGAAGGAAGTGTCCCCAAAGGCATCGCCGCCACGACCCACATGCATGGTATGGCGGAAGTCCCCCAGTGGTGGGCTGATCATGTCCGGGGTCAGCTCCACTTTGAGACGGCGCTTGCTGTGAGAGCCAGACACCCAACCAATCACCGGCAGCTTCCCAAGACTCATCTCCTAGCCCGTTTATCGAAACACTGTCTCAGAAATACAGCGAGGTGCCGTTCAAGACAGGTGGGCACAACTCTGGAGGTGTTTGTGTCTCAGTGACCTGTCACAGTCCAGGATCCCTCCATCACTTGTCCTTCTGCTTTCTTTCTTGCTTCAGAGGTCTTTCTTCCAGCCTATTCAAGACCAACCTGTTGTGGAACCTCTAGGTTTCCAGCTGGGTGTGGGCATCTGATTTCCACCCACCTCTGTAGATCCCCTAGATAGTGTCTCTTCACAGCTTTAAGGAAGCCACCAGGCTAATTTGTTTCTTCCAGGTTTGGGCCTTCAGGAATGCAGAGAGGATGGAACCCCTGTCTCTCTCTCCTTGGACAGAGGGAGGAGAAGCAGTGATCAAGGAGGCTGTTGTTACACCGGTCGTTGTTCCTGTCTGGCTGGAAGTGTGCAAAGCTGGAGGATTAATGCTAATCCACTAACTCTTCTTCCGCCTGCTCTTTCTCTCTCCCGGCTTCTCTTATTCCACCTCCCACCGGTCTGGGAGCTGGCTAACAGATGGGACAGCAGGTCGCCAGAGCCAGAGTCAAATGCCTTGATCCTGGATTCCTGCTGTAAGAGGTTCTGGAAAAAAGACAGAAAGGAAGGTGAGGCTCCTGAGCTGAGATGGTCTGAAACTGAAAACCTCAGAAGTGAGACTTTGCTCAACTGCTTCTTGTCGCCAACTTGTGTAGCAAAAGCTCACTTTTTGCATTGTGCTCCATGGGGCCCATTAAATAGGGCTTCATCTAAACGACTAAACAACAACATCTCAGATGCCCCACCAGGTGGGTGAGGTTTTCTGCCTGTTATGCTTTAGTGCTCTCATGGTTTATATTTAGTGCAATATTGTTGGTCAAGCAGTTGTGGAGAAGGCACAAGGTCTTCCAATAAGCAGGGAAGAATAACTTTCCCCCTTGTCTCCCCACTCTGCTAGCATGGCTCAGGATGGCCAACAAGATAGCATGAAACAAAATTTGATGGTGGGTGGAGGTTGTCCTAATTTATTATATCTGCATAAGTTTCATTGGTTACCAGTGATTACCATTAAAACCTGGCATGGCTTAAGTCCAGGATACCTTAGGGACCATCTCCTTCCATAGCACCCTGCCTGCTTCTTAAGATCCTGAGAGGCCCTTCTCTGTGTCTCATGGAGGGTGGGAAGCCTGCCTCAGTGGGGTGGGAGGGCCTTCCAAAGGGCAGCACCCTGATGAAGGCACACCTGACCTTGCCCTGCGAAGTGTGGTGGGTTGGCTTCTCCACTCACTTGTTTTTCACTGCTTGTTGTGCACTCTTATTCTGGCGGGTTCTTACTGCATGTAGCAGATAACACTTTTTGTTTTGACTTCAACTGTTCACCTTATCTCATTGCCCTGACTTTTTTAAAAAGCAAAAAAACAGAAAACCATAATTTTTAAAATGTTTTGGAAGCAGCTCTGAATGGTATTTTGCTCAGGGTTTGAAATTTCAACAATGACGAAAAGTTCACAGGTTTGACATGTTGCCAGATTCCAGTACAAAATTTCCTTTCATTGAGCTGGCTCCCAAGAAATGCTCTTATGCCCATTTCTCAGCTGAATACCTTTTTTTTTTTTAGCCTGTTGCCTTGTGCCGGCCCTGCCCTTAGCCGTTCCAGGAGCTACATCCCACCCCCCTCTCCATTTGTTCCCTCTCTTGCGGATCACCTTGGAAAGCACAGGTGCCAAGGCAGGCTAGAATGCCATGCTCTGTGCCAGGGCCACGTCTACTTCCCAGCCCTGGCTCTTGTTTGCTCACTCAGGGCCCCTCTTATCTACGCAGCTGGCAAATGAAAGATTAAAAACCTCAAACTGGGATTTATGACAGACGTTGACTGCCCTCCCCCCACCCCAGGAGGGGGAGAAAACAGTGACCCTCTGCCCTTCATCCCTTGGGCAGCCAGTGTCACTTGTCTGTGTACAAAAGGACACAGAAGTGGTGGTCACCCATGGGGGTGAAGGCAGCCTGAAAAAATCACAAGATGGATTGCAGTAGTAGTAGTAGTAGTAACAACAACAACAACTCCCTCTCCCCAGTGGATTTGCTATTTGCTACTTGCATTCAGTGCCTGCAGTGCTATGGCCTTCTTCTTAAATAATGGAAGGAGTTAGTCTTAAGCACATGGTGCTGCCTTCTGCCTGGGACCTTCCTCTACCATGTGCACTCTCCAATAAACTATGGCTTCCATCACTATGGAAGAAATAGCTTGCTTGCCTTTACTGATAACTTTGTACACAGGTAGGCCACCCACACCCCACCTGAGCTCCATGCTGCCCTTCACCATCTTTGGCGCAGCACCCAAACTCGGGATGAGGCAGGGAGAGAGAATGAATGAATGAATGAATGAATGATGGATGGATGGATGAAGAGGAAAGAGGAATGAATGAAGTGAGAGAGAAAATGTGTGTGTGTGTGTGCGTGTGTGTGTGTGGAGAGACTGTATGGATGACACATGAATTATGAGGAGACAGGTAGAGAGAGAGAAGTGATGTCCATTTCTTTTTCTTTTTACTCCACCTGCCACCACCTCCCAACCACCTTTCCCCCAAGGGAATATCCACTCCCCCCCCCCGCCCAACCCGGGAGGTAATGCATGAGCTTTATGCAAACATACTCTCTCATACACTTGACAGGAACTAGTGAGGAATGCAAGATGCAATGTTTATTTATTTTTTAATACGTGTAGCCCACCTTCCTTTTTCAAAAAAGAAATCCAGGACAAATAGATAATATGTATCAATAATAATCAAATATAAAAACAATATTTTTTTAAAAAATCATCAGAAGTGCTATCAGTTTTGCCACCTTCTTTATGGCAAGGCTCTCCTATCTTTAACAGCTGCAGGGGCCAAAATTCAATAGGTATAGTTTTATCCAAGAACAGAGATGCAATAGTTGAATTATTCCCATCATGCAGCTGTTAGAGGCCCCAAAGCCCTGCCAGTAACAAATAGTGGCAACCTAAAATACAGTAATTGTAAATAACAGTTGCCAACTTTTTTCTGGCAGGGTTTCTGTACATTTCACAGCTGCACAACAAGCACAAATTCAAGAGTCCCAGGCTTTTCTTATCAACGTATCTCCATGCTGAGAATATTTCCAACTGGATTTTCTGTGTGTCACGCAGCTATGAAAGGCACAGGAGCCCTTTCAGGAAAAAAAGAAGGGACTGTTGATGAAAATTTATCTTGCTTTTAATTCTCCCATTTCCTATATACCACAGAGATACAATGCACAGCTTAGAGCAGCCTTCATAAATCTGGTGCTGGTGTTTTCGACTAAAACTGCCATTAACCCAGACCCACGTTAGCTGGGACTGATGGGAGCTGGTGTACAAAACATCTGGAAGGCACCAGGTTCAGGAATGATGGAGTCTAGAGCCATCAGTGGACCACATTGCCTGAAAAGCTCCAGAAGAAGGGGGTGCATTCCTGAGCCTTGCTTCCTCTGGAGCCTTCTCTCTTTGCAGGCTACGAGCAGAAACTAGGAATGTAAAGAATTGTAATATACATCATTTTAAGAAAAATATGTGCTGGTTAAGGTAGACACATGGAGTGACCAGAACCAAGGGAGAATGGGATCTCCTGTAACTTTGACAACGTTGAAGAAAATGTAATTTTTGCAGCAGGTCTTGTCACAGTGTGGCATGTTTGAGAAAAGATGCACCTGCTGCAATTCCCTCTTCCACAAACTATTATCAAGTACAAAGCACTAGGCATCTCATGCATCCAGTCAGTCTAGAGCTGCCCATTCAGGCTCTTCATTACGTCACATTCAAGTGCAGCCAGTGAGCAGGCCTGAATGTACTGTAGTTGGCAGATACTATATTTCTATTACTCCCTACATCATGCTGACCAACATGGCAGCTTTGGCAGGAAGCTGGGTGTGTATGTTCTCATTTCTTGCACAGTAGCCTATACATGTTCATGGGATATCTCTACAACTGTACAGTCAGGGATAAGCACCGACTCTTCTGTCCTCTCCCTTTCCCTCCAAGTCCCTCGTACTTCAGTCCATTTGTGAGTTTGAGTGTAGGAACCTATTCATTTTATTTGTGTACAGTGTACAATGGCCTGGTTGACACATCACATTAAACCATGGTTTAACACTGAGGGTGAACATCCAGCAGGCCACAGCTTCCCTATCCCTGGTCTAGAGTGTTGGGCTAGGAGGCCTGCATTCCTAGTGAAGCTCAGTGGGTGACCTTAGTCCAGTCACTTTCTCTCAACCAAACCTACCTCACAGGGTTGTTGTGAGGGGAAGTACCCTGTTTGCCACTCTGAGCTCCTTGTAAGAAATTGTAAGAAAGGCAGGACAAAAATATGAAATAAACAATAAATAATTCCTGACACATACAACGAGCTCAAACCCTAACTCTTTGAGTCCTTGCTGCCCCGGGTGGCAAATGCCAAGCAGTGCCCTTCCTCTGCAGCCCGAAGACTTTGGTCTAATGCCCAAACCACAATGTGCCACTGGCTCCACAGAGCTCCTTATCTTCCATCTTTGGCTCTGCTCCCTCTTTCGTCCTTTCTCCTTCCAGCCAAGCTAGGCTGCTGCTTGCTGAGACTACCAAATTAGTCTGGAACGAAAACAACAAAAATCTTTCCCACTCACTAGAATTCACAGGCCAAACATCCAGTTATGCCTTTGTTTGAGGAAAGCTCTCGTGGTCAACAGATGAACAATGGCTTTTGTTCTGCTCCTCAGTCTATGTATTTCATCTGTCACATGTTCAGTGGACTCCTAAGCGTATTTACTTGGCTCGTCCAAATGAGTTCAACAGTTGCATACTCCCAAATATGGGTGGATAGGATTGCAGCCATTGCTTTACAGCATTTGCCACCCTGGCCATCTGTCTAGAACAGGCTTTCCCAGCCTGGGGCCCTACAGATGTTTTGGGCCACTACTCCCTGCATGCCCCTGCTGATGGGAGTTGTAGTCCAACGTATCTGGAGGACACCAGGTTGGCACAGGTGCTTTCACCCTACTTTTCTAGCATCTCTCAGGTTGGATACCCAGCTTTCCTTCACCCCAGTCCTGCCTATTATAAGAACCCCAAAGAAAGAAGAGAGTGAACAACATGAAATGGCCACCATCTTCATGACGCCTCTTATTTTAGGGGATCCTTCTGGCTTGCTGTTGTCTAGCCCACCATAGTCACACTAAACTTAATCAATGTATCATGTTAGTTGCCCATTAGGCTTTCAGTTTTGACCTGGTAAAGTTCAAAGAGGTCACCAGAGATAGTTCTCTGTCAAATAAGAGTGAAAGGGAACTGATCCAGATGTCTCCTTGCTTGGAACAGCTAGAACCCAAATTGGCTTCCCTAAAGATAGGAAAGAGATGATTCAAGGTGGTCTGAGAACAGAACTAGAACTGTTTGGAGTCACACTTTTGAGTGCAACGAATCCTTGCCCATTTTTTGCTGGAACCAGCAAAAGTCTAGAAGATCCTTCCGTTGGAGACAGTTTTCCTGCCCAGATCGGGAGAATAGTCTGGAAGGTCAGCCTCATAAGCCTTGAAAGCAAAGTGACGTGTGTGTGTGTGTGTGTGTGTGTGTGGTGTGTGTGTGTGTTTATCTGATCTTGAATGTCAAAGTACTTCAGATGCACCTGATGAAGTGAACAGTAGTCACGAAAACTTACGCCATAATACATTTGTTAGTTTTTAAGGAGCCACAAGACTTTGATCAAAGTACTTCCTAGTCCCTTCACATATACACACTCCCCCCCCCCGGAATTCCCTTTCCTGTCTGAAAAAGCAAAGTGGCCTGCTTAACCCTTCAAAGAAAAGATGATCCAAACTACTTTCACCTGGCGCGCGCACACATCACAACTTCTGCTTCAGTGCCCATTTTCCTCTGTGACATGGCTCCCTCTTGACTCCTAGACCTTTCTCCACCCTGCTATCTCTTCTTCCCTCTCTGCTCATTTCTCCCCATCTACAAATCCCCTTTCAACTTACTGTACTTACATTTCTCTTTTCTCTTACATTGTCTCTCCCCTTCTCCTTCCAGTGCCCATCCCGCAAACAACTTGCTTTCCATTTCTCCTCCTGGCCTCTTTAAATTCACATTTTCCTATTACAGCTTCCCTCCGTTATTCCCTGCTTCTCATATGATGATGAGGAGGATTTTATTAGCAGTTGCCATAGAGCTCTATTTCCTTTAAGGCCCCCGATGTCACTCCCCACCCCACAGCTCCGCTTTCCCCTTGCCAGCCCAGTCTGCCTCACACCCCTCATGTGTGACACGCATACAAATACCAAAAACTTTTGGACTTTACCTTATCTTGAGGGGACAAAAAAAGAGAAGACTTTCTGGGGAGCTTGGATTATTTTTTTTTCCCCCACAGCAAACTTGCCGGCACGCCCACAACATGGGGAAAGCGGTCCCCCCTCGCCCCACACAGCCTGGTGAGGGATGCCAGTGACGTGAGAGACCCCCAAATCCTTCGCCCTCCGTTCCCTCACCGCGGGCATCCAGCTCTGGAGCCGCTGGAGGAGGCGCGAGAGGGATGTGGAGAGCGCGGGGCGGAGTTTCAGCCCGCCCTGACCAATCCGGAGCCGTCAGGGAACGAAGTCCGGAGGAATGGATTTCAAAAGTCCGGCCAGGGGGGAAATTCAGGAACTCCTGAGCCCCATCCTCTCTCTCCCCCCCCCCCGTCTTTCCACATGAGACTTCCGCCTCACGAAGCGTCTGGCATTCTGGCTGCTCCCCCCTCGCGAAGTGGAATGGAGGGCAGCCTCTTCCCGCGCGCTCCCAACAAGACCCTCTTTTCGCCCAAAACTCGAGTGGGGAAACTAGACGGTGCGCCACGCGCGCAAAGAGCAGCAGCGCGCATGGGACTTGAGAGCGTGGATCGCAGGCAGCGGCGCAGCGGGGTCCTTTTCGACACCCTCCGTCCTTATTTTATGGGAGGGAGGGATTCAAGAGCATACCGGGGAGTTTTAAGTCCGCGCGCCATCGAAGTGTCTTCAAGCGCTCTCTTGCCCTAGCGTGACAAATCCGTTTTGACTTCTTGTGGTTAGGAAAGGAAAGCGCCGGGGGTTGCATTGAAAAATGTGGGATCAGGGGTGCCAACTTGAATGAAATATGGGTGGGGAGGCAAATACATAATTAATCGCATGACGATTAATTAAATAGCATAATTAATCGCATGACGTGGTGTGTGAGCACCATTTGAATGGCAATGTCCATCAACTTGGGGGGGGGTGCGCTCTGGACCCACCACAGATATTTTTTGGAGGCCCCAAAGAGACCTCGACCCCTAGAAGTTGGCTCCTATGCATGGGATGCACCAGCAAGGAAGGGGAAGGCATAGATGAACAACAACCCAGAAGCAAATCAGGATGCATGTGTAACCAGCCCACAATCAAATCAGAACAAATGCTCAAAGAGGGCCAGGCATCGCCAAACTTCTGTGTAAGCTTTGGGCAAGCAAATCAGAACGAATGCTTCATAAGCCTTACACCGCAGACCTTCAGCTGTGCAGCACAGCTTGTCACCTCTCCTCTCCACCTTTCCATCCTTTACCGTTGCGTCTATATTGGCCACGCTGACTGGGGCTGATGGGAGCTGGGCTCCACCACCTCTGGAGGGCCACAAGTTCCCCATCCCTGCTGTAGTGAGTCTACAGTAGTTACTTGCAGAACAGATTGCCATAATGAGCTCCGGATGGGACTGCCCTTTGGTTCAGAATGCAGCTACCAGGTTTCGGTCTGGAGTCAGTAGATGAGATAATACTACAACTATTCTCTTCCAGCAAAACTGGTTAGCAAGTTGTTTCTGGACTCGGTTCAACCCAAACACAGATCTTTGCTATCTTGTCCTTGATTCTTTTCTAACACTGGCATCCTGTTCAGGCATTTTAAGGTAGTTCAGAAAACATACTTTCCTCTGCAAGTCTTATCCTGGAAATATGCAAATCCTACCATGGTACGACCAGGTTCCATGTGCGAAAACAGTTTGCTAAGTCTTGAGATAAAGTTCTCCGGGCAAACACACCCATGCAGTGACTCCCGGTAAGTTCATGGGAGACTCTCGGCTGTAGCAGTTGCTGAGTCCTTGATGCAGTAGGGACAGAAGCAGGGGACATTTGGCTAGATGTAGCAATGGGTTGGTGTTGGGGGCAGGTCTGCAAACCAGTGTCAATAGTGAGAGCCAGCACTGGGCAGGACCATTCACAAAAGCCCTATAATTTAGGTCAGGCTGCATTGGCAGAGGTGGGGAACCTTTTGCAACCTGAGGGCCACATTTACTTGTGGGCAACCAGAAGGGGGCCACATATCAGTAGTGGGTGTGGCCTGGACACGCCCCACGCTCCATGGCTGATATGCCCATCCATCCAGGCAATCAAGCAAAAAGTCTTACCACAAGTCAAGGATATATTCCAGCCAGGTAAGATCACTAGAGGAGGATGCAGAGGCAGGACAGCGAGGGGTGTGGCTTGTGGGGGGATGAGTTGGGCAAGTCTCAAGGACCGCATAGAGAGGACTAGAGGGCCACATTGGCCCCTCTGAGCCTGAGGGTCCCTATAATCAATGCTATAACAAGATAATTATTTCTCAGACAAGTGGGGATTAAGGGGGGGGAGGATTCATGTATGTGCTGCATTGACTTCCTAAAATTTACACAGCCTAAATAATGACAGGCTGTGTAAATGCAGAATGCAGGCAGACTGGATGATAACACAGGCCTGAGGACTCAGGAAACATCCCTGATGCTACCCTCCACTGGGCTCATGGTTGACTGGGGAGATTTAGCTGCTGGGAAAACTCAGTTGGTAGAGCATGAGACTCTTAATCTCAGAGTCGTGGGTTTGAGCCCCAAGATGGGCAAAATATTCCTGCATTGCAGGGGGTCAGCCTAGAGAACCCTCATGGTCAGTTCCAACTCAACAGTTCTATAATTCTATGATTCTAAAGTGATGGCACTGGCAGCAGCAGCAGCAGCAGCAGCAGCAGCAGCAGCAGCGGTGCTGGTGCTGGGATCAGGAACCTGGGCTTTGCATTCATGTCCTTGAGGCTAGAAAGCATGATCCTGTGTGTCAGAAACTCAGAAAGCTGTGTTGATGACACAGCTTCCTCCTTCCCCACACCCATGAGGAGGAGGCGCACTGGGCATTAAGGAAGCTCATGTATTCTGCCTTTGGAATAACTTGGTAGAGGCTGACTCTTGCTCCAATGTGCAGCAGCAGTAGAGCATGGGATGCTGAGGGCTATCCATGGTCTCTAGCACCAAATCCCAAGGTACATTGCAGTTGTCTCCTCTTAGCAAGAGAAGTAGAGCTTATCTAAAGGCAAAGTGGGGCAGAGGTGCCTTTAAACACAGGGAAAGCACAGGAGCGGATGGCTTCATGCAGGTGCCCTGTAAATAGTGAAGGAACTGGAGTGGCTGTTCTGGAGGAAACGCCAAATATGAAAGTATCATAATGTTCTGTGAAAGATAGTAGCTGTTGAGTCTCTTTCAGATCCTTCCTTGGTTCTGTTGCTCACTTTGGCTTGCACGCCTCCTTTCTTCTCTCTCTCCTATCATTTTGGGAAAAGTTATTGATTGAGTGCCAGGATCAAATCAACATTTTCTCAGCATGGAGATGCAGCGATCGAGGGAAGCTTCACCTCTTGAATTTCTGTGTCTCATGCAGAGGAGTGCTGCCTGAAATGGGTGGCATCCCTATAAATCCCCTTTTCTCTAAAAATGATCTGGAGTTCAAGATCTTTTACTAAAATTGCATGCCATTACCCCCTGACTTTCCCTATGAGCCATTCCTTGGTCCATCTTCTCTCTAGTTAACTCATATTTTGTATGTCACGTTTGTGTCCCACTCTTCTGCAAATAAGTTTAGGACAGTATATATGGTATATCAGACTGTCCGATATTTATCTTCACAACAGGGAGATCAAGCTGAGACTGAGACAGTTACCCCAACCAAGCAGAGCAGGCTTCCTCAACCTTGGCCCTCCAGATGTTTTTGGCCTACAGCTCCCATGATCCCTAGCTAACAGGACCAGTGGTCAGGGATGATGGGAATTGTAGTCTCAAAGCAGCTGGAGGGCCGAGGTTGAGGAAGCCTGAAGTACATCAGAGGCAGATGATCTGTGTGAGTGAAGAAATTTCTAAGACTGTTGCCATTATAGATTGACACTTGTCAAATCCCTCTTCAACTGGCTGGATGCATTTTTTTGATGCGATGCTCATTCTCATAAAATGTTTTATGTGGTTATTGTCTAAAATGATGGCTGGATCTGGGCACTGCCACCCGCATCCTCAGAGCTACCCAGTGAGCATCACGACTATGCAGGGGTTTAGCCTTTTACATTTTTAGTCTTTTAGTCTTTTACATTTTTACAGTTCTGGAAATGTAATTCAGCACCCTTACTGGGAAGGAGGAAGCTATATTGTCAGGCCAGTTGATACCATGAGCCCCAGGGGCATCGCTCGGTACTTAAAGGGTTTGGAGCACATGCTCCTGGTACAAATTGACATAACATTTGCATCTTATAATGTACACGTATATGTCCCTCTGGGCAAATTGAGAAGATGGATAGCTGGGGGTCTCACCCCTAGCACTCACTGGTCACTGCCGCCAGCTGCCCTTGCCCTTGAAGCAAAATTGTAAAGGTTCCTAAAAGCGAGGCAGGAGGGGAAATTCAGGGCTTGGCACAGACGGCCAGAGGCTCAGCCACCATCCAGCAATGCCCCCAGTGAACTCACTTTCAGCCTTCGTTTCTTAAATTCAACATTTCTACAATAACTTACCAGATACATGGCTGGTGTTTCAGACTAACAGCAACAGCAGCATTTAAAAGGTGGTTTTCCATGCTCGATAAAGCATGCTGCTTTTCGCCCTTGCTTGATGTGGCATCTGTCAAACGTTGGAGGGTTCGGATGCCTGTGAAACAGGGTTAACAATTACTTACCCCACAGCGGGGTTTCTGAGGCCAGCCTTGCTAGACCAATTTATTATTAACGTGCAGGAGTGCTGCATTCTTTTGGCCTTGGCGGATGGGGTGGGGCTTTCTGCCAAACCCACGGATCTGGGTGCACCAGGGCGTGATGTCTGAGCAAGTCCTGGCTAAAAGCAGCTGTCCATTCCCTCTGGCTTCTGAACCCACCCAGCCACCCATTCATTCAGGGTAGTACCTTGAGGATGCCATACAACCCATCCCCTGTCACAGAACATTGTTTCACTCTGTCTTTTTGCCCCAGCTGGCATTGCTCAGCAGAAGTTTTAACTTTAGCCCCATGAGTATGTCCACCCCTTCGCTGGAAGATCATGGGATATCCTCCACCCCCCTTCCCCAAACTCTCTCATTGTTGTGGGGTGGGGGGAGTTGATTCCAAAGAAGCTGTAATCATCCCTGCTTGGGAATGCAGAACAAATCTCTTCCAGATTGGGGTCTGGCTGGGGTGGAGTCACAAGACTCTCAGCTGAAAGGGGCTGCAAGCCCTTTTCATCCCTCCCACCCCCTTTTTCTCTCCCCACAACTCTCAGCATCTCTGTATTCCAGGGCAGCAAAGGCTTGCTAATTTTTCTAATAAAATGGATGGAACGCTCCCTTGCTGTTCTGCAGTCAGACCA